TAACAACACAGAACATTGAGAGCCAGGACTGGTGGCTATAAACAGACTTTATGGGACTGCAGGAAACTTGGCCACACCTATGATAAGGGGCCATCTGGCTAACTCAAATCATGCAGGACCATGGATGTTGCTGGACTAGAGAGGTTCAACCTTTACCAAGACTCTACTCACTTTTGGAGACAGAGCATGTCTTTTCACTATGTTTATACAGAACCTTACACTATGGATTCCTAATCCTCGAGTAGGGGCGAGCATTATGCAAGTAATTAATGCTTCATCATAAATTTATTGGGCATTCTGTATTCATTCCCTTCATGCTGGAGCTTGATTTCCTTCCATTTCATTGTATCTGATGAGAGCGCTATTTATGGAACTATAGATCAGTTTAACGGTATGAAAATCAGTAAGTCGCTAATTTTATGGGGTAAAAAATGGGACATGATCCAGCTCCCACAGATTTGGATCAAGGCCTTCACGAGGTGCATCTGTTGGGGCAAGCCCAGAGAATCTGTTGAGGATTGAACAGAAATCTGCATTGGGTAGACACACAATAAATTACCTCATCCTGGCCCTGTGCTAACACCCACTGAAATGGAAAGTGTCTCAGTCATTTCAGTTGACGTTGGACCAGGTCTCCTTCTGGAGCCCTTCCCTCTGTTGATGAGCTCTGGCTGACCTCAGTGGTCCCGTGTGCAGTCAATGAAATAGCTTGTGCAGGTGCTTGCTAGGGTAATTCTGGGGACCACAATCAGGCAGGTGGCTCCTTTGAGAAAAAGGAATAAGGGATCATTCAAATATTAAATCAGAAAAGAGGTTTCGTCAGTTTTATTGGCGGCGTCAGAACCAGTGTTCCCGCTAAGATGTCCATCCATGTGTGGAATACATTTTATGATGTGCACCACGGCATGTGCATTTGTGCACCACCTATAGAAACACAGGCTGCCAGCTGTGGGAGGCGGTGAGCATTCTGATCATCAACTGGGTGACATTTGAATCGCTTTTGGGCAGCTGCCCAAGAGCTCAGTTTACAGGGACCACTGGTCAGGTCCCACCTCCTCCCCAGAAATATTCCCTGTAGAGAAGACAGAAAAAATGTTTCAGTAGGTGTGTGTGTGTCGTTTCCAGGTTGACCTCTTTTCCATTAGATTTCCCATCGATTAGGCGGGCTGTAATCCAGTCGTGCAATATTCGTCGTGTTCCTGAGGGTTCCAGGCGGGCTGGGTGTTGCAGCTGCCTACACAAGGCCGTATGGCAAGGGTAATTCACAAGCAGTGGAAACAAAATGGATATTAATGAAATACTTAGAACCAAAGAGCAGCATCCAGGAGAAACCTTCCCACTCCTCACACCGTCCCGTGCTGGGGCTTTTCTACCAAGTGCTGTGCAGGCGGCTTAACAGATCTTTATGTAGGGAGTTGAGACTAGTGCTTTGGGAAGCAGAGTGGGTTAATGTAGCACATGTTTAATGGATTGTGATTAGCAGCCTTCCATCTGCCCGAGCCCAATTGGAATCAGCAAAGGAGTGATGGAGCAGATTCCTGATGCATTTGTAGCTTGTCCCTTAGCAGGTGCACATTGATTACCCTTAACACATGTAAAAGGATGTGGGCTTTTCTGTGAGGGGGAAAGGGATGGGAAAGCAGAGCTAACAGGTAGGTGATGTTCTTGGGGGTTGTATAATGTGGTAATTTAGAATCATAGACTCATAGGATTGGAAGAGATCTCAGGAGGTCATCAAGTCCAACCCCCCGTCCAAAACAGGACTAATCCCAACTCAATCTTCCCAGCCAGGGCTTGGTCAAGCCGGGACTTGAAAACCTCAAGTGATGAAGATTCCCTCTCTAGGGAACCCATCCCAGTGTTTCCCCCCCTCCCTCCCCACACACAGTAAAATAGTTTTTCCTAATATCCAATCTAGACCTTCCCCACTACAACTTGAGACCATTGCTGCTCATTCTGCCATCCGTCACTACTGAGAACAGCCTCTCTCCATCCTCTTTGGAACCCCCCTCCAGGTAGTTGAAGGCTCCTATCACCCCCCACCGCCTCACTCTTCTGTAGACTAAACAAGCCCACATCCCTCAGCCTCTCTTCATAGACCATGTGCTTGAGCCCCATGATCATTTTTGTTGCCCTCCACTGGACCCTCTCCAATGCATCCACATCCTTTCTGTAATGGGGGTGCAGAATTGGACGCGCTACTCCAGATGTGGCCTCACCAGAGCCGAATAAAGGGGAATAATCACTCCCCTAGATCTGCTGGCAATGCTCCTCCTAATGCATCCCAATATGCTGTTGGACATATACACAGGGTTCCTCCCGTGTATATGGTACTAAAACTGAATCATGGGCTAAATAGAGGCTCTGGGGCATTTATTAGCCCATGACATGTTATGCTTATTACAGAGTCAGCATCTTCCAGTTAATTAATAGTAGTAATTACTGCATTCTGATTATTATTATTTATATATCGCTACCAGCGTGCCAGGCACTTTACACACACAAGATTATTATTTATTGCACTGCGAAGGATACTCTTTCTGCTCCTTCCTTGCTGCTGGGAACATTATCCCTTACAGCCAGCAGGTCGAAATGAGAAGCCAAGGTGACCCTGATGGCACTAATCCTGCAAAGCCCTGAGCACGGACGGATGAGAGTGCCGGGGGCCCAGGGCAGCAAAATTTTGCAGGGCCCTCCCCTTTGCCACAGCGCATGCGCCGTGGTGCCAAGGCGCATGCGCGGGGCCTCAGGAAGCGCGGGGCCCCGGGCAGCAAAATTTCGCGGGGGCCCTCCCCTTTGACACAGCGCATGCGCCGTGGTGCCAAGACGCATGCGCGGGGCCTCGGGAAGCGCAGGGCCCAGGGCAGCCGCCCCGCTCGCCCTGCCCTAAATCCGCCGCTGGCCTTGAGCATTTTGTGGCAATTGCTACAGGCCTATGGGTTGAAGAGGATGCGTGTTGGAGATTCTCACCACCACGCAGGCATGGGGGAAGAGTCACCGAAAGTGTCCCTGAGGACGGCAGCTCCTTTTTATTGATTGCCTAGCAAAGCTCAGACTTGAAGCCGTTGGCCTGGTGACATGGTGACTGTAATGCTAGTGGCTGATCACCAAGGCAGCCCCATCCATGGTCCCAAAGGCAGGAGCGCTTCTCTGCACCATACTGCAGTGCCTTCGACCAGTGTTTATCAAACTTTTTTTATAAAGTACCCCCTTTTAAATATATATATATACCACCAGTACCTACAGTTTTCAGACACACAATTTTTTTTTCTACCATGGCAACACATTTGTTTAAACAGCTTAATTGTAGCCAGGCAGGCGATGAAATTTTTGGGTGTAAAAAGTACAAAAATAATAAAGCGCTGTAAAACTTAAAACAAAAATTCGGTTTTCTCCAAATTTCGGTTGTGTTGACGTCCCTCCCTGAGTTCTCTCAATTACCTCTGTGGGTACTCGTACCACTGGTTGAAAAACACTGCTTTTGACCCTTCCTCTCCCGACTCCCAATCAAGACTCCCCTCTGTGTTTTACGGCGAGCCCAGTGCATGCTGGAGCAGGAGGCATGGGCGTTAGGAAATGCTGGGTGAATTCTACTGGGCTGGCTCACGCTCCTAGTGCCGAACACAGCTATTAAGGTCCGGGGACTTGAGTTGGGCAGCTTAGAATTTGTCCTGTTCTCTGCGTATTCACTGGGTCGCCCGTTCTCTGTACTGACTAGGTTGTCACCTGTGCAATACTGAGCTGGCGCTTTGGCTGCTATTAGGGTGATGGGGGGAAATGGACGTTAAAACTGGTTTTGGGATCATGTCTGGTGCTGGACAGTGTTTGCCAACTCTTCTCGCTGTCAGGCCTTTCACAGGAACAGCCCTGACTTTATTGAGGCTGTTATCTTCTGGATAGCGGAACCTTGCAACGAGAGAAGACTGGCTGGAGTGTGTTTCGAGCGGAAAACCCCCTGCCATAAATCGCGCGGCTGGCCTGGACTTTGCACGCTTTCTATGGGGAGATGAAAATAAAGTTCATGGGGAAGTGAAGTCAAACACCCAGACAGGATGTTGGCGGGGGAGATGGTGGCAGGGAATTGACAGTCTAGGGGTGAAAAGCGCAGAGATAAGGCCCTTTCTGCTGGATGGCAGCGTCTCAAGCCCATTGAGACTGATGACAAAGACAGTCAATGGGCGATCCTGCGGTGGCAGAGCATCCCGCTGACCCCTGCTGTGATGGTGGGATTGCTCGGCCCGATTGTGGAGCACACAACTCCTGGAATCACAAGCTTCCCGGCCTGCTTTCTATGCCAAGCTGCAGCTTTTCCCGTGCCAATGTAACCCGCACACTGACTGGGTGCAGTGCACTGTCCCCCGTGGCGACACAGCATCCTAAACTTGAAATAAGATACTCCATTTGTGCTACGCAAATTGCGTATCTTATATCGGTGCTATTTCGAAATAGCTTTTTTTGAAATTTGGCACGTCTACGCAGCCCCAAATTTTGAAATAACGTGTATTTCGAGGCATCAAGGGCTAAGGGATGCTCAAATAGTGTGCCCGTTAATTAAAAAAATATTTCAAAATAACGGGCTGCTTGTTAAGACGCAGGGGTAGCAATTTTGGGATACCTCTCAAAATAGCCGCACAGTGTAGATGCACCCTTAGACCCCTTATAAAGAGACCAATGAATCTGCGCTATAGCCTTAGCTGAGATCCAGCTGGCTTTTAGCTCAAGCCGGAGAGGCTCACGCACTGAGATCCCAGGTTCGATTCCGCCTGTTGGTGCTACACAAGCGTCTAGTGTCTAAATAGGTGACTGGTGTTTCTTCATGTGGGTCCACATTCAGATCAGGTCTAACCCGTGACAGTGTTGTTTGCTGGTTTCAGGCAGGAGGAGTAGTGGCTGTTCATGCCAGGGTGGGTCATTGTGACCCTTCCTGGCAGTGCACATGCTCCGCACTGAGCTGCTGGGATCTCACTCCATGCCTTTGTTTCTCTTCCTCCTTCCTCCAGCTATGTCCGACTTCCACATTCACCCTCAGAACGCCGTGGTGGAAGAAGGCGGCGTCGCAAGGTTCCAGTGCCAGATCCATGGCTTGCCAGAGCCTGTCATCTTGTGGCAAAAGAATCAGGTCCCCATCAACACGGATAACGAGAGGTAAGAGGCGCGTAGGGACCTCAGTTCCCCTCCAGCCCGCTGCTGGAAATAGCAGGCCAAAGGCTGTCTTGCTGGTCCAGGGAGCTGCTGCATGCCAGACCAGGGTTCACCTGAGAGAAGGCTCTTCCTTGTGTTTAAATAGACGCACGACCTCCTCCATCTTTCTCATGAAACAGTTTGTATGTGGGAGGGGGAGGGGTGCCGAGCAGTGTTTCTTGTAAGCTGAGCTCTTCGTCAGCTGCCCAAAAGAGATTCAAAGGCCACCCAGTTGATTACCAGCGTGCCCCCAGCTGGCAGCAGGTTTCTATGAGCGGTACGCATCTGCACATGCCTTGGTGCACATCACACAATTATTCCGCACATGGATGAAAACACGTAGAGGGAAGCTGCAAGCCATTGAAACAAATGGCAAAGCCTGTGCAAGGAGTGCTCCACCTCCCCCAGCACCCCTCGTTCCAGCACCTGTGCACCTGGCTAGGCGATGTCCCGAACTAATGCATCCTTTCACCATCCCGGGGGATGGGAGCAGGCTGCCCAGGCAACCCTGTGGTGATAGCCTTGATCCCTTTCTGCCGGGGCCTCTCCTGAGCGGTAGCTGGGGCAGTCGTTGTCCACGTTTTGGCTTAGACCAGAGAGGGTTTTTTAATCTGATTCCCCTGCACAACATGTGCCTGCTGCAGGTTGACTCTCCTATGCTAGCAGCTCCGCATAAGGGCCGGTCGGCGGAAGTTAGCGCTCGCCAGCACGGACAGCGCGTTGTACAATAAGCTCCTTTGATGCGCGGTCGGCTTAACACACAATCTAATCACTAGCCTGGCCTTCCCAAGGAGCTACAGTGTAACAGCTCCACCTTGGCGAAGAGACCAGTGGAAAGGTGCCAATGCAAGGCCTTTTTAGCTCTTTCCCATTCAGTCCTCCTTAAAAAAAACAACAAAATTGCTTCCCCCTTCTTACCACCCCCCTTCCCGCTTGAAAACATGAATGGCATGTCCTTGCTTCCTTTGTGTGACAGCCCTTTGCTTAGGAAGTGCCGCTAAGCCTGTTTTGATCTTCTGAGTGCCGGCCTGGAGTGAGGGGACAGGTGGCAGGCCACCCCCGTCCCGGTCCCGGGGAAGAGTTTCAGCACGTAACAGGAAATGCACGATGGGCTGGCTCCAGTCTGTGATGATCACAGCTGCAGCCAGAGATCCCCACCGCAAAGCTTCCCAGCACCGGCCCTTCCCGGCACACCTTGAGGGCTGCACGCTAGGGAGAGATGAAACCTGGAAGCTGTAAATATTTTTTTCCGGAAGGGCCCCTGTTTTTTCAAATGTCAGCTAAGCCCCAGAATGTGGCTGAGTTCTCTTGGAGCTAAAACAAAGCACACATGAACCAGAACAATGCTTGGCCTTTCCAGCTCTCCTGTGAACTTAGGGAAGCACCCAAGAGACCAGCCGCAGAGTATAAAATGGCAACAGTTTGATTTTCCTGGTTTTACCCTTCTTTTAGCCTGCTGGCATTATGTCTACACTTCAATAAAAGACCCTGGGCATGGCCATGCTTGGCCTGGGTCAGCTGACTCGGCTCACAGGCAATGTTCCCTCTAAGAGTTTCCATTCATGCGCGGAATAAATTAGGCATGTGCGGATGTGCACCACTAATAGAACCACACACTGCTGGCTATGGGACGCTTTGGGTGCTCTGCTAATCAATTCGGCAGCATTTAAATCTCTCCTGGGTGGCTGCCCAGGCATTCAGCTTACAGGCAACGGTGCTCAGAGTGTGTGGGCTCCGCGGCTATAAAATTGCAGTGGCCACATCCCCCAACGGCGAACACTGACCATGAGCCTGGTAGTGATTTGAGTTAGATCCCCCCACACCTTTGTTTAGCTGAAGCTCGAAAGGAACAGCCACTCTATCCAGTGTGCTCTGATAACCAAATCTTTGTGCCCAACCTGCTGTCTACTTTCCTTGTGAGAAGGAGGAATAGTTGAATGCCTACCAAAGAGATCTTCCGAAAAGATGTCTTCTGAAAGAGATCGTCCACACTGCCAAAGTGCATTGAAAAAGCGATCTGCTTTTTTGGCAGATAGCGTCCACACTGAATGGACGTTCTCTTGCGTGTAAGTTGTGATTACTATGGGTGGAGTGGTCACTAGGGCACCTGTTTCCCTCTTTCCTCTTCTTTCGAAAGAACTACCTCTTCCACATCCACACACACCTTTTTCCAAAAGAGCTCTTTCGGAAAAAGACTTCTTCCTTGTAGAATGAGGATTACCAACACTGGAAAACCCCCGCTGTTCTTTCAATTTTCTTGCGGAAGAACGCAATTGCAGTGTGGATGTAATTGACGTTTTTTCGGAAAAACGGCCATTTTTTCTGAAAACTGTAGTGTAGACATACCCTAAGTTAGCATCCTTCTACCTGTGGTTGGCATCCTGATTTTGAACAGATCCTGCTTCTTTTAGAGTGAAGGTTTTTCACATCAGCATAGTAGATAAATCCTGACATTTGCAGTCTCTGGCACCAGTGAGATTTGTGGCAGAGGGTTTGCTTCCTTCGGAGCTAAGTTGTAATTCTGCATTCACCGGGGTAGGTGCAATTCGGTGTATAAATTGTACATACATTTGTATGCTGAGTGATCCACGTTCAGGCTTTGAAGACAGCATAATCGCTTTGGAATTGAAGCTTCTAATGCGTTGGGCAGATTGTTAACAAAAATGAAGGCTTCTGGCGGTGTAATTCATCCAAAATAAAGGACATTTCAAAGTCCCAGCGAGATTGCAATCAACTTCAGTGCATTCAAAACTGATTGCTGTCACGCCGTCTCAGACACTTCAGCCCCGCTCTTGGAACCCTTAGTGAGAGCCGGTGAGAGACACTTAACCATAGGAGGATCTAGAAAAGATCGTCTCGGTCTACCAGGCAGAAATAATCATTAACTCATCAAACTGTAATGACCTACTACCAGCTACCTTAATGACAGGGTTGTTTAAAAAAAACCGCCAGACAACCTATAATAAACATATAGCTTTGAAACCCACGTACACACGTGTTTAAGGTGCCACAGAACTGAGTCATGACAGCCAGGACATTCAGACTTTCCAAAGCCTACAAACGCTGTGTGTAACTCAGCCTGTTGCAATATAGCAGTACCGCATGCAAGGCGGCGTGTCATGGAGAGACTTCTGCATCCCTTTGAGTTAAAGAGAGAAGAGTATTTCTGCTTTAACGTTGCATTCCCTGGCTTTTCTTGGTTTGTCAGCTCATTCATGCTTTTCAAACTAGGTTGTTTTAGGCAGTTTGTTTAATTGTGCTATTGACATATGGTGGGAGACAGTTCAAGGTTCTTTCACACCTATATCATGAGGATCCAGGAAGTTAAATTGTTTTCTTGGCAGCATCCATGGCGATAGACACCTGGTGGAGGTTCTGGTGTGATTTGCCAGTGAATGTGGTCAACAGCCCAGCATGTTACAGATCCAGAGATCAGGCTAGGGGGTAGACAGAAGTTACCATTTATATAGCCTGGTGCAGCTCCATAAAGCCAAACGGACCCCTCTTGCACCAGCCCCAACCTGTTGAATGTCATATGCACTTCCCTTACGGGTGAGTTTTACTATATTAAAGACACTTTGGAAGGGAGAATATCCTCCCCTTGGAAGAGACAAAGTTTGTGCATTATGAGATCAGAGATTAACATTGAGAATCCTTTGGTCTGGCTGAGCTTGCTTGGTGCTGTACCAGGTTGTAGAGCATCCTTATGAACCTTGAAACCCTGGGGCTGAGGATGTGCAAATAAGGCTCCAATTGGCTTACGGTTGAGCAGTGTTTCCCAACTGGGTTCTGCGAATCAAAAGTAAGGGTTCTGCAAGAACTTGCCACTCCCCTGCCCCCTGTTAAAGTGACAGAGCCTTTTTATGGCGGGACTCGGGTTTTGTTTTGTGTTTTTCTTGACAAATTGCGGCGGGACTTGGCCAATTTTACCCTGGCAATGCTAGGAGTTCCTTGACATTCTTTCAAGCTGAAAAGGGGTCCATGGCCAAATAAAATTGGGAAACACGGTGGTAGAGTAACTTAATGTGGGAGGTCCCGTTCTCCATTCTGCAACTGTTTCTATGTCTCCTTTTCATGTCCTCTAGGTACACGCTGCTTCCCAAGGGAGTCTTGCAGATTACTGGACTCAGAGCAGAAGACAGTGGAATTTTTCACTGTGTTGCTACCAACATTGCGAATGTGAAATTCAGTCGGGAGGCCAGACTCACGGTGTCAGGTTAGTAACAGTGAACACGATCCAGATGGTCTTTCGCTCTTTCTCCGTCTGCACATCTGTCATGGGGCGGGACTCACTGCTGCTGCGCCTCCTGCTGGTTGCAACAAGGAATTAGTTCTGGCGTCAGCATGGTGCCTCCTTGTGGCTGGTGTCTCTCCTGTCCTCACTCCATGCTTGCGTTCTGGACCCACGTCCTTATATAACAGGGCTGCCCCAGAAAGCTGACCTCTGATAGGCTCCTTAAAATCTTCTCCTTGATTGGCCAGGGTTCTGTGTAGGCTCTCTCCAGCCTGCTTTCACTCTGTCGTGGCCAGTATAGGGCAGTCGCCCCACCACACCATACTTCTGGACCAGCTCAGTTAACAGAACTTTAGTGATCATAGAATTGAAAAGCTTCCTTCTGTCCATTCATTGTTCTGTTTGTTGTTAGTTGGTGCGAGATTTGCCCATTTGATAGCTAATAAACCTGTCTCTTTGGCTTTTAATTAATGTCAATTATTGGGCAGGAAGGAAGAGGATAACATGAATTATAGAAGGGAGGAAAGGGAGAATCAGTTATAGCTGCTTTACATTAAATAAGTTCTGTCTCAGAATGTGAAAGATTCTCCATTTTCTTACAAACTTAGCCTACTCTAGAAGTAACTGCCACACAGGGTGTTATCAATTATTTATCCAGTCAGGGAAATACATTCTAGTGCTGCAATACATCCAAGTGCTGACCGTAAAAAAAAAAGAAAAAAAAAAAAGAAGCAAACTATACTCAGAGTGTTAAGTTGAGGTTTTATTTTATTTTACCCATCTGAAGTGAAATCCAGTCCTACTGAAGTTGCTGGGACCACGTTTTCTCTCCTGCTAGTAGGGGAAACTGGATGGGAAAATATAGCAGCATATGAACTGTTTTCCAAAAAGTTTCCTGTGTTGGCGTGCATGCTGTTGTTTGCCAACCAGGTTATGATACATGACTGCTTCCCTTCACAAATGGAGTATGCACAAGATTTGCATGCACAAATGTCGTCATTTTGTGAGAGTGCAGGAAGATGAAGCCTGCAGGTGATTTCCATGCATACAGCAAAGAATGGATTGAATTGCCTTGAAAATATGGCCCACAATGTTTCCATAGCATCATTAGATTCCAGCTTGTCTGTAGTGTTCTGATAGTTTATTAGACTGCCCTTTTAGCACACTTGTAACTGTCTACACCAGTGTTTCTCAGTCAGTACGAGTTCCCTTAGGGATACTCTAGAGATGTCTGGGGTGGGGGGGGGTTCGTCAACACAACTGAAATTTGGAGAAAACAATTTTTGTTTTAAGTTTTACAGCACTTTATTATTTTTGTACTTTTTATACCCAAAAATTTCATCACCCACCCAGCTACGATTAAGTTGTTTAAACAAATGTGTTGCAATGGTAGAAAAAAAAATTTGTGTGTCAGAAAACTGAAGGTACTGGGGGTACTTATAATTTATTTATTTTTTATAAAAGGGGGGTACGTTATAAAAAAGGTTGAGAAACACTGGTCTAGAACTATGTCGAACAGTTGGCTCATCAACAATTTCTGCCATGCCAGTCATCTTAACATCAATTGAGTAGCCTACGAGTTGGCTTTTCAGCCATTGCTGTTGGGTTGCTCCTGTAATTGAAAGCACTGGTAGCTTACAAAACCCATTTCAATGTTTTCAATCACCTTCCCTTGTGTGATGAAAAGGAAAGTAAATATGAAGTCAAATCCTGCCTCCATAGCTAAGCAAGCAGTCAACGGTAGATGATAATTTAGTGTCTTCTCCTGCACAAAATTCTTTCTGTTCTCAGCTTTGTTTTAGAAGACACAGGTGGCTTGCTCCTTGGTGATTTCAAACATCAGTTTCTTAATGTCTGTTGGTTGCATACTTCCTAAAAGGCCACTTATGGGCAAAAACTCCCACCGCCTGGATTTCTTCTCTGAGATATAGACACCTAATTTACATGTAAATTTCAGATAAGGATTAGACTGCAGAACGAATGGTAATCTGGGAGCCTATTTTAAAAAAAAATGTTTGTCAAATTGTGCGTGGAAAATAGGTGTTCCACAGAGATAATCACGCATGTCAGTGGCCAGTCAGACACACAACTCCGGCTGGAATTTAATCAACCGTTTTTGTGACGATACCCAAGCAGGAATAGAATCCAGTTTCCTTGTCGTACGTGTGGGGGCCTATAGTGCTGACAGGCAAAATAAGATGTAAAAATGTACAACAGGCAAGCAAGCAAGCTGATCTGCCATTGATTATACCGAAGCAGTAGATCCACGAAGCAGGAAGGCGCAATGTGGACATAGTATAGAACAGCCCACCGAACAAACAGATGATGGGATTTTTATAGCTTCGCATGTCCCTCAGTGTGACAGAGTGAGGCAGGATTTTTAGCCTGAGAAGACAAGCACCACATCTCATTATGAGTGTTCATGATCCTGTTGTCTCACACGGCTCTGCATACTGAGACCCTGGACTTGCAGGGCTAGAGGTGTGTCACCAAGCCGGCTGTAATCCTCGCACGTGGCCCTGTGGCCAGAGATGCTGTTGAGCTGGGCTTTTTCTTTCCTGAGTGCAAGTTTGTCTTTCGGCCACAAAAAAACAGCCATTGGGAAGTAGGAAGTGGCTGGGGCAGTGAGATGGTGTATATCAAATCTGAGGGTAGAAGAAAACAGCTGAATTGGTTCTGAAAGGCCTGGCAGAGTTGGAGGCCAGTTCTGTATCTGTTTGCTTGATGTATGTGAGCAGTAGCTGCAAGGAAGGGGAAATGAACAATAAATTACCAGCAGGCTGAAGTTCTGTTTAACAATTTACTGCTCTGAGTTATTATTTCACTCAGGGCATAAAGTGCTAGCTGCTCTCCTCTGGCCGCCTCTCACGTTGAATGAGTATTCTCCTGGTTTCCTTGCTGTGCAGCGTTTGTGGTGTGGGCTTTCCTTAAAGAAACAAATCCCATGATGCTTTTGCCATGCTCTGCCTTGCCTCAGTACACACAAGAACATCAGAACGGCCACACCGGGTCAGACCAAAGGTCCATCTAGCCCAGTGCCCCGTCGTCCAACAGTGGCCAATGCCAGGTGCCCCAGAGGGAGTGAACAGAACAGAGAACCGTGATGCTGTTCCACATCAGAGTTGCACTGCTACCGTAGAACACAAAATCACCTCGCAAGCCTTTGCATCTGCTTGCCCTGGGATGTGATGGTGGCGGGCAGATAAGAATTACTCCTATTCGTGTTCTGCTCGTTGCTTCCATTGCCGGGGCTATGAACTGACAGCCTTTGTGACCCTGCAAAGAAATGGACCCAGGCCAGTTCCTTCTTGGAGCTTTGGAAGTTGGTTTCAGGACCCAGAGTTTGCCAGTAGAGAGAGAAGATGAAGCTGGCTTTTGACCAGCGCTGGAGCACCCAAATGGGGTGGACTGTCCTTTGTTCTCACGAGGACGCTGGCAAAAGAGAGACCCCTTGAGGGACCCGGTCACTGGTTCAAGAAGATTCATTCTTTACGACTGTTTCCTGGGAGCGTGGTGGCACCTGCGTAGAACCACTTGAGATGAACCCCAAATGGATCTTTCAGAAGAGTTTGGACAACTTTTTAATCCGTTCTGTTTCCTTTTTGGTGGCTTCCCCTGCCTTCCCATTTCTGGTGCTGGACCCAACAGTAGGGATCTTGGGAAAACGGGGTATTTCAACCTTGTCTGGAAGTGAGACGTTATCAGCAATCTTGTGAGAGAACCTGTTCTTGTGAGATCTCCAACCCAGGCCTGCAAATCCAAGAGTTCTGCATGGTTTGGATAAGGAACAATGATGTTTTTGAATTGGTCTTGGAGTTAAAACACAGCACAGCGGGGAGGAGGACAACTGTGTTCCTAGCTCAGCTTGGGAGTGAACTGGGACCTAGATTTAAAAAATTGGGGGCTGAACGTTAGATTCCTAAAGTAGTGTGTAGGCATTGTGGAGAGCATCCGCTAACTTCAGTGAGACATGCTGCATGTTTCTAGTGCTTTTGCAAACCAGGACTTTTTATTTCAGAGCCTAAGAAGGGATGGAGGGGTGTGATTTTCAATGCTCTTACTCAGCGCTTTGCATCAACAGATCACAAAGCGCTTTACAAAGAAGAGCAAAATCTTTATCCCTATTTGAAAGGGGAAGAAATTGAGGCACTGGGAGGAAAATGACTTGCTCAAGATCACCCAGAAAAGCAGGAATAGAACCATGGCCTCCTGAGTCCCATGCCAGAGCACTAGCCACTAGGACACACTGCCTTCCCTCCACCTAGACAAGTCAGTGATAAGCCTCTACTCATTTCAGTGGGAGCTGAGTAAGGGCAAGGCCAGGTGCTTCTGAAAAGTTCACCCCAGGAGCTGAGCCCCGGCACTGGATGCTGCTGTGATGCTGCGGAGATTGTTTGGGAGGTGTTGAGATCCTTGGATAGAAAGTCTTGTTTTTCAAAATTTCCAAAGTTCACCCATTGTTAACGGCCACAAATTGCTCTGGTTTGTTTCAGAGATGAGTATTGCAGTGTAGGGCAGGGATGGGCAATAATTTTCGAAGGGGGGGGGGGGCACTTCAAACATTTTTTTAAGTGGTTGCGGGCTGCCCAGAAGGGGCGGGACCTTGCGTGGAAGGTGCGGGGCCTTTAAATAGCAGAAGTGAAAAGGACTCATGCCTCCCCTGCAGCTCCTAGACATTGCATTGTGGGGGTGGGAACTGTGACCCCTTTCAACTCCTGCTATTTTAAAGGGCTCACTGCTCCCGGCCTCGCTGCTAGCTCATTGCTTGGGAGCCGGGGACGTTCGAGCCCTTTCAAGTGCTTCTATTTCAAGGGCTCATGCCTTCCTCGCGTCTGTTGCCTGACAGGCGTGAGCCCTTTAAATAGAAGGCATTGAAAGGGCTTGTGCGTCCGGGCTCCCAGGCAACGCATTAGGGGGCGGAGCCAGAACTGCCACATGGGCCGGATAAAAGCGCTAGGTGGACCGGATTTGGCCCACTCAAGGCTCTTGCCCACCTCTGCTGTAGGGTGAACGGTACGTAGTAAGAAGCCAACTTTTAACCTCCCCCCAAACATATGCAAGTGATTTTTCTTGGCACTTACCTCTTCACAAATAACCCAACCTAGATACCACCCACAGTAGGGCAGCCATATGTAGGATTAACAAATGAGCACCACTGTCACGTCCCTTGACTTCAGCCCCAGCGGCAGTGTGAAAGGAAGAAGCTAAAAGGCAGGGGAGGAAATGAAATCTAATAGGAAAGCCCTTGCACCGGATGTTCAAGGCTGTGTTTCGGCTTGAATGATATTTGCATCCGTAAGATGATCCATGTACAAGAGCCAGTAATGGAGAGACCTTAAAGCAGAATAGCACAATACTCGACAGTAGGAGCAAATCAGACCCAAATGAACCTGGGCTGACTTAATCAAACCCTGCTTTACCTTGTCCTTCCCCTGCTGTTGCCCTCCAACGCCTAAGGATAGAAGCGGATGGAAATATTACTCCATGCAGGTGTACAGAATAGTCTTGCCACCGGCAATGGATTATTGAAATTCCTTCAATTCTGCTTGACCTCGGCATTATGGTCACTCTAAAAAGCACCCGTCAAGCCATGACATTAAGCATGTGGATTGTCATGGCTTTGGGCCGATTTTGCCTGTCTGGCATTGGGCCCAGTTTTCAGTAACGACAGACCTTTATTGTGTGTAGTAAAGGGTTGTATCGTATTGATTCGCACTGATGTACAATGTGTCTGACAGGTTTTGGGTGTAGTGCACAGGGTGTTGATTTGATTTATCGCATTGTGGTCATGCCCGCAGGCCTCCGCCCAGATTAGGGCCACCTTATACTGTAAGCTGTGCGCCCACGTGCCGGGAGACAGCACGTGCCTTGAAGAGCTCGCCGTCCAACACAGGAAGGATTGTTATTTCCATTTTACAGATGAGGAACTGAGGCACAAAAAGACCGAATGATTTACCCCTCTGCCCACAGGGAATCTGTAGCCAAACCAGGAGTTGGACCCAGCTTCCTATACCCGCAGACTGACTGACTGACTGACTGACACGTGACTTCAAACCACGCGGGCGGATGGCGCTTGAGCGTGTTTAGCTAGCGCTGTGGGAAGGCTGCGGCTAGTTGAGCACCGAGATGCAGCAGTTCTGGGTCGGAAGACAGGACTGTGGCTGCTGCTTCATGCCTTCTTAGCATCAAAGAATGTCACTGGCTGCTAAGCAGCGCTGCCACACTATAGCATTCCGAGTGTGACAGCAGTAACGCCTCGGTCTCTGATTCCTCCAGTGTACATCTACCTGGGTCTTCTCTTCCTGACTCCTGGGAGAAGATGGAAAGAACAGAAATCAGTCCCAGGAACACCCTCCTCTTCCAGAGCATATTTCAGATCTGTAGGAAGCACAAAAGGAAGGTTGGTTTCTTAAAAACACGGCACTGGGCTCTCACGAGATTTGGATTCAATTCCCCACTCTGCAGTATGCTTCTTAGGGCTTGTCTTCACTTACCAGGAGATTGACATTGCAGAGATCGATTTCCCGGGATTTGATTTAGCAGGACTCGTAAGGACTCACTAAATCACGTGCTGATCGCACCACTGTCAACTCACCTGCAGTGGATTGTATCTTAAACTGAGTTTTTGTGCCGTCCACACGACGGGAGGTCGATGGGTGCAAACGCTCTCACCGGCTTCCCTTACTCCTCGCGAGGAGCAGAAGTGCTGGCGCCGAGGGGAACATCTTCTTAGTTTGAATTAGCGGGTCTTCACTAGACCTGCTAAATCGAACCCCTATGCATCGATCTTCCACACAGTGTAAACATGGCCCCTGTGAACAACTCCACAGGTCAGAGGCAGCAGCTTCGCCAAGTTCAAGGCCAAAGCACTGGGCCGTAGCAGCAATAAAAGCTGGCTCCTTTATAGGCAGATATCAGCGGTTCTGGATGCTGTGAGCAGCTTCATGAAGGGGGCAAAGATTGCAGCTTGCCTGTGTATATCCAGGGCCCAGCATGTTATGGGCTACCAGTCTAACATCTCTGGGTGGAACGTACACACCAAGGGGGCCATGAGAAGTGGCACAGGAAAAATATCTCATGTGAGGGCATACGAAGGTGAAAGATAAAGCAGTCCCTTCTCTGCTGGGTCTCACATCTCCTTACACTTCCTCTAAGCCACTTCCCCTAGCACCCACTTCACATACATCTGTTTACACCCACCATTGTCACGCACTTTAGCATTTGTGTCACCTCTAAATCTGGTCTGTAGCTTTTAACATTGCTTTTCAACAGAGATGGTGTTTATAACTTAGCCCATAGCCTGCCATAGGACTTGGGCATCACGTGCATTTTAGTTCAGAATTTGGTGGCTCCATTGCTAATTGGTGCTGTTTTCTCGTACTTTGCTGACGCGTGCAGGATATGAATTGGATTTACAAACTGTGCTTGGGGTTTGGTCATTTCAGTCTAGAAGGTTATCATGGAAACGTCAATATGCAGGTTTAAGACACACTTGAACCTATACCTGTTATATAGGCAACGCCTTTGTTTGGTGTCACTAATTAGTCATCTGTGGGCAGAATCGAACCTGGGATCTCTGGAGCTTAATGCATGAGCTTCTCCAGCTGGCTCTCAGACAGACTTGTTCTTTCCTCTCTATAACTGGTCCAAGTGCCACTACAGGGGACAACGCACCACACCTAGCAGGTGTATGGTTACATAGCTCCCCTTGTGGAGGATGGACATCTGGAGCTTCAGAGACTTCCCAGTTGAAATCCGGGCTGAGCCCCCTCTTGTAACGCTGACCGACCCTGGTTGTCTTCAGGCAGAATCGAACTTGGGTTTTCTAGAGCTTAGGGCAGGTGTCTCTACAACATGAGCTAGAAACCTGCTGGCTGTAGAGCAAACCCAGTAATCTCTCTGTAAGTGGTCTGTGCCACTCGATGGACCAGAGCCCCACCCCCAGAAGGTGTATGGGTTTCAAATACACGTAATGAAATCATTCGTTCTGGATTAAACGAGTCACACCGGGCTCTCGTAGATGAGCCGAGCCCTGGTGGGTTGTCATTGTACTCTAGGGTCACATGTTGCAGTTAAGCACTAAGACCCGGCAGGTCTCCGTTAACAGTGACTATCTTTGCAGGCTCCCATTCTACAGCTTACAAGGATCCCATGATTCTCGTTGGCCCAGAGAACCTCACCCTAACTGTGCACCAGACCGCTGTATTGGAATGCGTTGCAACTGGAAATCCCAGGCCCATCGTGTCCTGGAGTCGACTAGGTGAGTAAATGGAGTGGCAGGAATTTCTTGGCTCTGTTGATTGTCCTTTCCTGGGAAAAAATTCTGTGACACTGATTATTTATGGCACAGAATGATTCAGACTTCTCTTTGCTGCTCAGGATAATTGTAGACTCAGGACTGCTTTTATCTTTCTGTGTGTGCCGTGGTGTGTACTACCTTGCCAGCTCCTACTTCAACTTGTTATTGAGGTGGGTTGGTTAAAGCTGCAGACGTTTTATGAAAGGTGATAATTTTATCTTTCCAAAAAGTGACAGCCTTTTCTTTAGCTGCATCACAAGCCTCCAGCGAAGCGCATTCATACCCAAACATGTCTTCCAACTCAAACAGGCTTGAGAGAAGCTGTTGATCTCTTGAGTGATTTAAAATAAAACCAGGGAATGGGAATGGTTAGTAGCTGCACGCATAAAGCTTTGAAGAATAGCTGTTCAGTGGTGAGGTCAACGATATTTGTTAATCCGCATGGAAAACGGAGCCACTGTCTCATCTGATCACACGAGGGGAGTAGTGCAGTGTTTTTGCAATGGGAAAATGAATGTGACTTTAAGCTCTGCCTGCTCAGCGTTAGTCCAAGAAGTGCACACAGTGGAAGGGGGCTTTCCCATGTAATCTGCTCGGCATTAGCCCAAGAAGTGCACACAGTGGAAGGGGGCTTTCCCATGTAACTGCCGAGTAGGAATCTTTCCCGCATCAATAGCTGATGGCCTTGTGTTGCACTCTGGTACCTGAAAATATATGTGCATCTGTCCTGAACCCAGCTGATATTTCCAAGCCTTTGAGCTATTCCTCCTCTCAGAAGTGCATTGCAACCATTTCATTCTTGCGGGATCTTCCCACCAGTGTATCACGTGTTCCCAAAGGGGTGATGCAGGGAATGGGCTACGTGTTTGGGAATGAAGCGCACCCTATGTGACTATGCTCACCATAGAGTTCCTTGCTTTTTGTTCCTGAATCTCTGGTTCTCAGAATTTGATTCCTGGTTGTTAGCTTCCCAGACTAGAGCCTTCAGGGAAACAAGAAGAATACACTTACCCAGTGGGAATCCAGAAAGATTTTTTTTTTCATGCTGCCTTTTCTGTTCAGATTCTGTAGCCTATTCATCCCATCTACCCACGTCTGTCACTACCTGATCTTTCCCCCTGAGCAATAATCATCGTTTTGGTGCTGTTTTAAAACCCTGCTGGATATGCTACGCCACATGTTGCAATGTTCTTTTGAGCACCAGGCCCCTGTACCTTGACTCTCCACTATAATAAACTCCTTTATAATTTCCCTAATTATAACAGCTCATTGGCTTGTGCAAAACACTTGTCCCCATAGAATGGTGTAGTAATGAGGATACAGTAGTGTCAAGACATAGTACCTCTTTTAGATTCAGGCCAACACTGCTATATACCAAAAACCAAACCAAAACCAAAAACACAACAACTCTGCTGCAGAATTGGATGGAAAGCTACCAAGTCAAATGAAAAGCTCAGTGTGAATCCTTTCCTCCCAAAGAAATACATTTCTTGGTCTATGATGGGAAAGGTTGCTTATTGGTTAGTGGATCTAGGGATCCTTTTGGCACTTTTTGTGCTTTCACATCCTTGTGCTTTCATGATCAGAAGGAGTGGAAGGAAGACAGCACAACTTTGGAAGGACCAATTGAGGGGAGCCGGGCAGTTGAGATGAAAGATGAGGGGTTTTTATGCCTGATTAGATGTATACATGTGTAGCATCCTCGTGTATGAAAGTTACCTTTCTGAGGGTACATCTACACTGCAACACTATTTCAAAATAACTAGCGCTATTCCGAAATAACTTAGTCCGCGTCTACACAGCTGGCAGTTATTGCGAAACAGTGTCAAAATCCTGTCAAGCTGGAGGACTTCTTACGCGAAACAGTGTCAAAATACTGTCACGCTGGAGGACTTCTTACTCGGACTCCTGTAACCCTCATTGTACAAGGAGTAAGGGAAGTTGGAGGAGGAGTGCTCTGTTTTGAAATAAGCGCTGTGTAGACGCTCCCTATTTCAAAATAAGCTGCACAATTGACGTAGCTCAATTTACGTAGCTTATTTCGAGTTAGCCCCTGCAGTGTAGATGCGCACCCTGAAGCACCTGCTGCGATGCTAGTTCAGTAATTGCAGGAGGAATATTCTTAAATAACTGTTAAAGTAATACAGCTCGGAGGAAAAAAACCTTTCCATAGGGTATCGTGAACTTCAAAATATACAGCAGCGGGGTCTTAAAGGGAGGCAGCCAACTTAAATTAGGCTCAGTTTGTTTTCTTTAAATAAAACCTCATATAAGTGAATGATTTTATTGCCATTTAAAAAAAACAGAAAAAGTCTCCATTGAAATAGTTCACTTTTGCAGGATTTGGTTATTTTCTGAGGGTCCTTGCACCCCTTCATTTTTATTTTGTACGCCATTTCGATGAAATGCAATTGATTTAAACAGAAATGAGTGCAAGTGTGAATTTTTGCATGGTTTTCTGGGTAACCTGTCTTCTCTTCATAAACAGGCCCAATTTTTGCCCTGTCTTTACCAACTTAAAAAAAAAAGCCACCCAAACCCAGCCTGATTTTCGGTGGGAAATGGACCCAGTTTTGCTTGGGGAAAAAAAATCACTCATATCATGAGTCCATTTATTTTTATTTCCTTGGGACTATTTTGTATTCCTCTGGCACAAAATTTCTGGTGTTGCCCTCTGCATGAAATGCTTTGCAAAGTGGAATGTTCAAGAGAGGATTTTGTTCCTAGAGACGTATAAAAACATTAAGGTTTAGGTTTGTTCAAGAAAGATAAGATTTGTCCTTTCACGACTGCACTCTGGAACCTGAACCTCTGTGTGTACAAAGATAAATATCCAAGGAACTCATTGCAAAGCCCGAAAAAGGAATGATGATTTTTAATGTACAATATTACGTATCAGTTCATCCTTTAAATTCACTGACAGGCGGCTGATCTGCCCTTCATCAAAGGTTCTGAGACAAAATAACACACTCTTTAAAGAGATCTAGAAATGTGAGACAAGGAAGAAAGGGCAGCGATTATCTGATAGCATTATACAGAAGTTGTCAGAAAGGGCTACACAATGGGAAGGAAATTACTAAAGAGGGAGCCATTCAAGATGTAAACTATACAACAGTTGTAGGAGCCAATTAATTGGTAACTTATTGGACACAGAAGCTTGCAATAGATGGCTGACTGGTTGACAGGAGCCCCATTCCCTGAAGTGTTTAGAAATAATAGAGTAAATTTCACCACTTCACACACTGAATAGTCAACTGTTGCAATGTATTCTAAATATGCTAATACATGGTGCCCAATGTCCAATGGAGTAGAAGACCCATGTGTCTAAAAAGTAGAAGGCTACTATGCCAGGGTACAAAGAATTCACAAAAGATCTAAATGGTCAACATTAGAAAGTTGTTACTTTCTTTCTACTTGCTACTTATCAAAGAAAGGCTTCCGCTTTGTTGCATATTCATATCGCCTGGCACGTTTTAACGAATTTCTGTAATTGGCGCCGAGGTGCCAGTCATTTGCTTAGGAGCCAGAATCCATTACAGTGGACAAGCATCACAGATACGTTGGACAATGAAATAACTTCTATCTCACGTTGCAGGGATCTTTCATCTGGATTCCACCCGGATGGGAAATTTTACAACTTTCTTTGTGTGCTGCCAAGAGATTCTTTGAGAGTGTCTCCTATTTGGAGGCTAGCCAGCTTCAATGTGACCAGTGTTGATTCATTAGTAACCCAGCTGCTCTTTGCTACCAACCAAAACCCACATCTTAAAACCAACATGCAATTTAAGTCCCTAATGGTATTCCTCCTGTTGTTCTCTAGTTGGTTCATAGTGTTGTTTTGTCACAATCTCATCAGCATACAGTGAAATGGAAATGACCTAATTCTCAGGACAGGCACACGTGCTTAGGGCTTAGTTCTTCCTATAGCCTCTGGATAAACCATGTGACACTGGGACTCATAAATATGTTTCTTCTTCTGCTCAGTTGGACAGCTCATTGGCTGTCCGAACTATGGTCCATTCTAGTGGCTCATCAGTGCTGCTTTGATTCACTAGTCATCCTTTCTGAGACACCTGATAGGAACCAGCCTAGCAGACAATGAAGGTCACGAGGTAGGAAGATGTGGGAGGCCCACAAGGTGATTTCTGTCTCATGGCGTCATCCACAGAATTACATTGTTAGAGAGCTGAAGGGATAGCTGATTTCAGAGGGTACAAAAGGTGTTGCTTCTTGTTGGGGAGACCATTGGGGTTGAATTTCTGGAAGGGACTGCTGCATGTAAATTTGCTGAACTCACTGCCCTCTCCCCCGTGAAAAGAAATGCTGTTTCCAAACTCGCTCTTGAGCAAGCTTCGGCAAACAGGATACAGTGAATAAGTCCGTCGGACTGGTTCTCTGTGGCTCACTGGTTCCAAATAATGTAAAGGACTCCTCACATTTGTGGAGCTTAGGGAGCCAAGCAGCAGCAATTTAAAGCAAGTTACTCCTGGCCTCACTTTGGGCGTGGCAGGATATTTTTCATTTTGCCTGATAGTCTGTTGCAGGGGGTTTCCACCTTTTTCATTTGCAGATCCCTAAACCTTCTGCATGGAGGTGCAGACCCTGTTTGAAATCTTCTCCCACAGACCACAGCTTGGAAACTGCTGCTCCGTTGGAAGCTGGGGGCCTGGTGATTTAACATGGGGAGAACAGGTTCCCTGGGTTCTGTTCCTAGATGCACCAGTAACTTATGGAGACTGCAGGCAAAGCTCTCTGTGGGGTTTCCCTGTCTGTACAATGGGTTTGAGAACATGTGGCGACCATGCCAGGGGATTGGGAGGTGCAGCTAATGTGTGTGGAGCCCTCTGAGCTCCTCAGAGGAAAGGCACCCAACCTGCACAAAGGGTTGTTTTTGTGCTCTCTCTGTGTTGATACCAACACCACTGGGGTAGATACGTGTGCACCTAGCTCCAGGAGAGGGT